TAACATTACAGTAAAATATACATCCCACTTTGTAAATCAGGGGCATCTTTGAGCATTCAGCAGAGGATGCAGAGTGGTCTTCTCTGGGCTCTGCTCTGGTTGCTGCATGAGGCTTTGGTAAGTTGGACAGCTTTGGAAAGGGGGAGGGGCTCACTCACAAGGGGCACCACTTGCTACTCGCTGAGAAAAGTGGTGTTGCCAAAGTCTTCAAAAGTTCCCAATAACATTGTAAAACGTGACCAGATTTGTTGCYAGTCACTTTTTGGAAAACAGTCGTTAGAGGGGGTCTGAAAACTTATTAAGTCTAGCAACAAAGTTGCTGAGTTGCAAAACTGCACAAAAAATAGTCCATGCTTTTTTTTTTAAATTAGCCACTTAAAACATGGCAGCAAAGTTTGATGGTCGCAAAACCTCAGAATTTAGTGTGACAGCAATAAAACATTCTCCCATTCTCTTACAGCTCAGAGTTGCCAAATAGTCATCAGTTGTAACTCTGACAGTTGTCCACAAAARATAAACCACTGGCCACTCAATGGACCTCCACAAATTCCACCTCACTATCTCTTCAAAGGTACAATGACAAACATTTAGTTGGCAGCCAGAAATTCTTTAATATGTGTAAAATCAAAAGAAAAATTTCCCAAAAGAACCATCTCTATACATTATTAGGTCATTTTATTTGAAGAGTATCTTTTGAAGACCGAAATGAAACCCTTATGTTTCTGTTTCTTTACACTTAAATACCTTCTGACTAAACAGGGTCACTTCTCTCCAAAGTGTTTTCTCCCCAGGAGTATAAAACTGAAATCAAAACTGTTTCCAGCAGGGGATGGAGTTGAAAACGCACACACGCAYAAACAAAAGCACAAATCTAACCACTAACCCAACAATAATCGAGATGCATCAGTGAGAATTAAGCAGGCGGGTGGGCGGGCAGCGGGGGGATAGAAATGGCAGAGAAAGCCATGGAGCAAGGAATGTGACACCAGCAATGACTGATTGAATTAGAAATAGATCTTCACTTCCCCGTGTAATTGATATGCAGCAGTGACACACTGTGCGCAGCGCCTTGTGCAGGGGAGGCCTAACTGTGTGATGTAATTTTTGGTCTCGTGTCGCTTTCTGAGTGCGTCCAAAATGTGACACAGAAATTTAAACGTTGCATAACTTTCACTCAACCACACCGAAAAAAAAAAAAAAAAAACAGCAGAAAAAAAAGACTTGTCTGTACTCGACGTTTAAAATGACAGCTCAGCTCTTTGGGTGTTCTTCGAGCATTTCTTCTAGAAAGCCAACAACAGTGGAAATAATTAGATAGTGAGGAACTAGGAGTTGAAAGCAGAGATAGACGGGAGGGAAAAAATGCCAGCTAATTGATGGAAAGGTCTCTGGCTGGTCTCCAGTTTGACCACAGGGCTGTTCCCAGCCACCAGAGAAAGAGAGACACAGAGTTTGTTGTGTTATTACGTCAGAGATGTTGTAAAGTGCACGGCAGTTACATCTTCCTCTATGACATTTTATGTAGAACGGGCTTTGATAGTGCTACACCTAATAACAATCATGCTGATGGATAAAGCCACTGAATGGAACAAAGACTGTGGGATTTGTTTGATCACTTTAATTTTTGTATTTAGAATAACTCCTGAATCAAACTTTGGACGTTTGAAATGACTATTCCAGCAGTGATGAAAGAGGATTTTTAACCACAGAGGAAACACAATCTGCCTTTTAAATGTAAAACACTGAAAATATCACAAATTAGTAAACTTTCCCAATAAACTTATTTGTTATTAGAAATAAAACAGTTTGAAAATATTGTTTTAAGCCTCTTAGATTTAAACTTGCTGCTTCTAAAAAAAACAAGACAGCTAACATGAAGTTTTGACTGTCTTATTAATACATTCTGCATCAGCAGTATTAGTGAAGATTTAATTAAATGAATTCATGCTGATTATAAGAACATCTTGAGATGTTCTGAATCAATAATGCAGATTTAGACAGTATTTCTGGGGCTGCTTTAGAAGAAGAGTCATGAACATTTTGCTGCATGATGTATAAAAATACAGGATCAAGGAGTGAAACGTGCTTATTTCAAAAGCCCAACATACTTTATAGAAATGCATATTGTCCACAATATTCATGCCAGAGTTTTAAGATCACTTTATTTGGAGTTACGACAAAAGGTGAAGCCATTTTGAAATCTTGAATATGGTATACAAGATCTGACACAATCTGTTAGAGCTTAAAGTTCCTGTGACCAGTTTTTGGTAATAAATATAACTGCATTTTTGGAAAGATAACATTGTGCAAAAAGAAAAAACGTTCACGCTGCTGAGATGAACAGTTGTTGAGATATTTGCATGTGAAGTAACAGGAAGTGACATCAAAGGGGAATGTCTGAATGTGAACAGAACATTGCTACAACGGCTAACAACACAAACTGTAGAGAGTAATTGCTCACTCACACCTAGGGAAAATTTAGATTTACCAGTTACTCTAACAGTCATGTTTTGGTCATACCTGGAGAAAACCCACACATGCACAGAGAGAACATGCAAACTCCACCTAGAAAGGTCMCAGGTTGGGATTTGATCCGGCAACCTTCTCACTGAAACAACYTACCAACTGAGCCACCATGTTACCCTTTAAATCAAGTTTGCAGAGTAAAAATGATACAACAGAGTGTGGATTTTATTTTGTGATTTGTTATGAATTCAKTTGTGAAATTTTGTGTGTTTTCTCTTGTTTTCAGTATTTTTACTCAGTCACTCCTGTTCAGCCACTCATTAACCACAGCTGCACTCACTCAGTAATCACCCCTCCCAAACACTCCAGGTTTACACTCACACTGGGCCTCATGCAAGAACTGTTCATACGTACAGATTTGTTCTTAAATTGTGCGTACAAGTGATTTAGTAGAATTTGTGGCATTCACCAATGTTTTCGTATTCTAAGATTTTTTTTCAGATACGAACAAAATTCACGAGTGGTCCAGACCTGTC